GTAGGTAACTATTTATAACTGTTAGCTACTAAAGCTAGGCAGAAACTAGCAATATAGTAGAATAAACTTATTATATATAGCTATTAACCTATGCAAGAATATTGTAAATAACAACTCTAACGCTATTTACTTATTTATAAAATAATATCTCTTCTGCATAATACAGTTCCTCTCTGTTCTGCGCATAGATTGCTTCTGTACGATATGCAGCTTCTAGCCTAAAACCTATATAAGGCTTGCTAAATATATAGCTAGATGCTATTCCTAATATCTTGCGCAATAGAGTCTAGAACTATCTAAGAATATTTATAAAACACTTTAGTTAAACAAAACGTATACGTTATTAAGCAATAAGTATAATACTACTTAAGATAAGAAAGTGCATGTATATGCAGCAGACAGCTTAAGCTTTACTATAATAGTATATAATTATATTAAGAAGGATAAAAATGCAGACTTAGTAATAGCTAATAGCATTTTAGATACACTAGATATATGCGCAAAGGACGATCTTATTAGATAAAAGAGCTTATTATTAACATCTACGCAGACGTAGAAAGTACTATTTTAGACATATAATAGGCAATTAGTAGGAGAACTAGCAATAGCAGAGTCTATAACTATAAAAGAGTATATAACACTTTCTTTAATATAATCTAGACTAAGTTTACTAGCTCTAATTACGTTAACACCTTTAGTTTAGACTTTGCCTTTTTATTTGCTGCATAGCTATAATAGATTAAATATATGCTAGAAGATATTAATAGCCTCTTTGCAGACGCATAATGTTGTGGCTAAGCAAACTTAAGAGAAAAGATTGTATTGATCACTGCTCTTCTAATGTATCAGAAGAGCTAGCTTAAATATACAAACAGATCACAGAGAAACGTTAGTCTACTTCCTAAGCTTAGTCAGCTCAGTCACGTAGATCAGTACTTCACTGTTCTCGTGTATCAATACTGCGACACACCCCCCATCTTAATTGCCCTGTTTAATTAAGATGACGTCACGCAGTGTGCATGTAAATAAGCTATTACCCTGCTCCCGCTCTGCCCTAATCGCTCAATTGGTAAGCGTCTGTTTGTTGTTGCGTTGTCGTAGAGATCAGTTAACTTGCGCGTTTGGCCTTAGCGCGCGCGATATCAACACCTTGCCCCGCGCCTCACGATCTTTTAACACCCCACCACCCTAGCTTTAAGAATTTAATCTGCTAACTATGGCTCTAGTAAGTCCTACTAATCAAGAGGTAATTAAGTACCTTGCGCGTACTCCGCATCGCGATCGCCTCGAACTCCAGGCTATCAGTCATGCTAACTTAGCTATTTCGCAGCGAAAAGGAAAAACGGCTACTCCAGCGCAGAAGAAGAACCTTGAGAACGCTCGCGCCGCTTAGTCCTCCAAGGCATCAGATTCAAAAGGCACGCGCGCCTTAGCTCGAATCAATCAGCAGAAGTCGGCTTCTAAGGAGAGCGATCTAGCCCCGGATACTCTATCAAAGCTAGTCGCTAGGGCACCCCGCGAGAGCCCTTGCGCCAATTGCATCCTCAAGTAGTTAAGCAACTTAACCAAGAACAAGCTTAAATGTGTTAACAAGAGTAGCAAGTCGAGTCGTTGCGCTGCCTGCAACTCTAAGCAGTGCATTCTAAGGCATATTTCTCACCTTATTTTGGTTACCTCTCGTACTGATTGTACTATAGCATTAATCTCTTTGTAACTAAGACGATAGCTTTATACGACTACGCTATAGGCAATACGGCAACTATGACTGTAAGTGATCGTTAATCTTATTGTAGCAGCGTTGTACTGATCTTTTGCAGACTTCTAAGTATACTGATGGGCGAAATAAGCTTATAGACGAGGTCTGTAAGTACATCGCTAGTTACAATAAGCCGTCCAGCTTCAAGCGCGACCAATCTGAAACTGCCGCATCCAATCCGACCCCTAAGCGCGCGAAGAAAGCTGCGCTACTTACGCCTTCGCAACCCCATTCAGATCCTTTTGGTCGGAAAATAGGCCCTAATAGAAAGTTGCTCTCGACCGATTTAACCTCTTTAAAGGTGTCTGCCCACTAGGCCTCTGTTCAAGATGATAAGGAGGAGAATAAGACTACAGTGCCCGCTAGCGATCTTTCTAGCCTAAGCCCTAGTCCTCTAGGAACTAAGCGTAGTGAGCAGGCTAAGCCTTTCGGTCGTAAGACCGATGTGCTTGATAAGCTGTTTGATAATAAGGGCGCTTTAACCTCAGCTAGCTTTAATCTTAACGCTCCGGTCGCTTTCAATAACTAAATAGGTCATATCGACACCTCTCTTGGCGTGAACAAGAAATTAATTCATCTTAGTTATGCTGCCTCTTCCTAACTAGCTCAAGCTGCACCTAGTAGCTCTGTTTAGCATTCTACTAATCTAGAGTTAAGTCTCTCTTTGAGCAGCTCGCGTAGGCCTGTTCGTCCTGCTCCTCTTGTGCCTAAAAAGGCGCCTAGAGAGAAGAGGAGGAATAAGGCTACTCTGACTAACCTTTATAGATCAAATTCTCCTTTTTCTCGTAAGGCAGCAGGCTTAAGTGGATTAAACAGCGGCCTTCGTAGCACTAAGCTGATTGTTTCGATCCTTAAGCCTTTCAAGTCACCTGCTAAGCAGATCCTAGATGCTGCTGACGTTTAAAACGCTCCCTCTATAGGGGCGCAGCATAAGCTTCCGTCTTAGTTTAAGCAGGAATTCTCATTTAACACTCTGCCTATCGTTACGGGTAACACCGGACAGGGCACTATTAATCTGACTGGCTCTAATCCAGTAATGACGATCGGTGACAGTAAGGCTAATCTTAAGTTATTGAGATTGAAAGCTTAGGCAAAGGAGCTTAATAGGCGTGCTGCTGAGACTCGATCTAGTCTCGAGAAGATCAAGAAGGCTAAAGCTGATGCAGCAGCGCGCTCGAAGAAGCTTCTTATTAAACGAGAGGCGCGCCTCGCGAAGGAGAAGGCTGATCAAGAGGCGCGTCTGAAAGGACGTTCCTTAACCTGCTGTAATTAAGTCTATTAAGACTAGTACTGCGGCGAAGCCTCGTGAAGATCAATCAAAGCGTCCTGCCTTTAAGGAGACTGGGCAAGGTCCAATTCGCCCTTCTTCTTAAACTTCTCAGTAGTCTCAGCGGCCTTCCGATGCCAATCCTCAAGTTTCTAGATTAGTTGAGTTGAATCGTCAGCTTACTGCCGCTGCCTAGAGTTAAGATGCTCATAACGGTCAACCAGCGCTTACTCCTCCTGCCTCTGAGTTTAGTGGTAGCGATCGAGCTAACCGCAGTAGTGCTAACACCCCTTTAACTAGTAGTAAGAAGGTTGCGCCACCTAGTCCTGCTACTCTACAGCCCGATCTGTTCTCCTTTAAGCTTCCTTATACAACTGACCCTAACGCCAACCTTTTCCCTATCGCAAATTTAGTAGATCGCCCTAGTCAGAGCTACGCTGATCGCTATCTATTAGATAATGAAGAGGCGCGTCACTTTAACTAGAGTAACGTCGTCTCTTTTGTTTCGTTTGAGGACAAGATAGTGAGGCAAGAGAGGCGTCTCAATCGTCGTAGAGTTCCTCAGGATTCTCTTACCTCTGCTCTGGATGTTCGTAAGCGATACTACACCTTAGCTTAACCTAATTGTAACGAGCGTCGTGCTTCTGTGCTTTACATTATAGAGGATTCAATGCGTCTCATGCAGATAGCTTTAGACCTTCTGGACTAAGTGTCTCAGTTCGATCTTCTTGCTATTAAGCAAACTTTTCCTTTCTTAACGCTTTGGGCGTAGTTCTCCTTACTTCTTATATAGATGTGCTGGATTGAACGATCTTTCTGAGGTAGCAGGCAGTTAAAAAGGCCTCTTTTCGCTCTGCTTAAGCTTTCTTAGTCTTAAAGGCCCTTTCTGATAGTAATTAAACTGATGCTATCACACCTTATTGCCATTAACCGTGACTAATCCAACTATGTCCTTGAGGTTTAAAAGCTGCTTAAAGTAATTGAATTGTTAATAGGTGAGAGCTTTAGTTAGTCTATCTGCTGGCATTTCCTTTGTTGGCAAGTACTCCACTGAGAATGATCCTTTTGCGTGTTCTTGTCTAAGCTATATGTTTTATATGTCAACATGTCGAAGACAGGTAGTGATTCGCTTATTTCGACTAACAACAAGTCTAATTGTTTGCTAGTTATCACACTAGATCTTCTATAAATCGCCTAGATCAAATGTGAGTTCGTCAAAGAATCTTTTTAAGGCAATAGTTTCCTTCGCAACATGCTCAAGTGCAATAAGCTCAGCCTCAGTTGTAGAGGTCGTTACTGTACTTTGCCGAGCAGCTTTCTATAGGATAGCTCCTCTAAAGAGCATAGCTATGTATCCATGAGATGAGCGCCGGGTAATTAAGTCATCTGCAAATAATGCGTCTCTACATATCATGAGGTCAGGACTATCATAATTGCTGTATTAGATCGCTTCCCATCGTGTACGATACAGGTACATAATAACTCAATCGATTGTGCTCATGTGCGTTTAGCTAGGATTAGTTAGATAGTGTAACAGCTTTAATACTGCAAAAGCTACGTCTAGGCGCAGCATTATTGCAGTGTACAATGCTGATCTAACCTTTTCCTAGTAAAGCTTAACTTCTTGCTTAGTGGCTTCTCCCTCGAACTTTTTGAGCTCTTCTAACGGTAGAGGAGTAGCTAGAAAGGTTCCATCGATTAAGTTAAACTTCTTTGCAATCTTCTCAATGTAGGTATCGTGAACTAGCGTAATCGTTCTCTTTTCTTAGTTTCTAACGATCCTTATGCCCAAGAACCACTCTGCTAGCCCTTATTCTTATATCTCATACTTCGTAGTAATCTTAATCTACAGGTCTTTTGCAAAAGCTTCGCAAGCCTTATGATACAGCAACAGGATATCATTAACGTAGAAAAGTATCAGAACTTTCTTGTCTTTATCAAAGAAGAGGCAGGGTTCTTCTTTTAATAAGATAAGGCCTAATGATCGGAGTGTTCCTGAGAACTCCTCATACTACAGCAGTGGTGAGTCTCTTATACCGTAAAGTGCTTAATTGAGCCTAACGCACATTCCAGGTTCCTTAAAACCGTCAGGAAGCTCACACAGCATAGGGTTCTCCTTTGTGATCGTTGCATTAAGGAATGCTCCTATTACGTCATTTTGCATGACTTCCAGATTAAAGTGGGCAGCTATAGCCATTGCTGCTCGAAACGATCTTGCTGCTAAGGTGGCAGCGTAGGTCAAATTAAGCGAGTCTTTTTCTTAAAGATCTCCTCATACAACTATACGTGCTTTGCACTTAAGCAGCATACCGTCTTAATCGAACTTATAGGTCTAAACCTACTTCAACAGGATTAGTCGGATCATTACTTCGCTTGTTAGCTGAATTGTCTAGGTATCTTTCTTGCGAAGCTGTTCAATCTCTTATCTCATTGCAGCTTTAAACCACACCTTGTGTTTGTGTTAGAGAAATTGTTTCTAAGTCTTAGGTAGGTCTGGAAGCTCGTTTTAGTGCAGTTAGGTCGACTTTGGTGTTTGATCGGTTAGAGTAGCTGCTATAATCACAGCGTTTATAGATTTATAACTCTTTTAATCGTCCCACGCTCTTCTTGCGCCTAGCAAGAAGGTATTCTGAAAGTCAGCCCACAAACTATTATTGTCATCTAGATCGGCGATCAGTGCATATACTCTAGTACCCGTACTCTCTATCTAGTCGTCTCAATCGCTATCTCTTCTCCTCCTGCGCAACGGCAGATAGGTACTTGTTCCTTAATCATTTTCTAGCGCTTTGCCCTATTGCCTCCGGCTTATTCTCTGAGTGCGCAGAGCTTATAGCTCTGTTGCACCTAGATCAGGAGTAGTCGTTTGCCGCAATTGCCGGCGTACTTAAACGAGCAACTAATCTGCTTCGTCTGAAGTGTTTAAGTTAAGTCCTCTAGGTCGAGTAGCAGAGCAGGTAACACGCTGCGGTGTTGCCCTCTGTGATCTAATCCAATCACTAGAGCAAGACGGGCTAGCTCTACCAGCTAGATGCATCTGCTGTTAGCTGTCTCCTCCTATACTTTAAGCCTCAAGCCCTAAGTTTCCCCCCATATCACCTGGCTCAGGTGTAGATTCTGAGGTTGCAAGCTAATTTTAATCTTTTAGAGGTCCTGCGCGAATTCTCAGTCAATTGCTAGCTATGCTATCGTCTCGCGCAGTTTCTTCCTGCATGACTCCCTAATCGTTTAGTTAGCTAGCCGTCTAATCAGTTTGTGCACTTAGTTCACCCCTAAGATTGCTCTCAGTGTCCCTCCTAACCTTATCAGTTTGCCGCTCTTCTAGGTACAATCTATCCTTAATAAGGAGGCCCTAGATCATCTAGCTCACCGTCGTGTAGGATATCAGCAACCTTAAGCGCTGATTCCTTTTCCATATTCTCATCGTTCTTTCCTTAAAAGAAACAACTTTCGTCGAACCTAACATTGCGAGTTATAATGACCTAGTTAAGCAAAGAGATCTATATCCTGTAGATGTTCGAGGCTCGATAGCCTACTAAGTATCCGATATAACTCCTAGGATTGGTTTTAAAAAACCTATGTCTTGTACCGGCTGCCTAATCTAAATTCAATAGATAGGCTTAACAGCTGTACGCATATATACCACTCCAATCTAGGCGTAGATTAGCTGTTCTTAATCGAATGACTGCTAGTTCGTAGTACCTAAAGTATTATCGAAACCAGGAATCAAGAACCTCATTTAGTGATTAATATCTATGCATTGCTGTTAGGCTCATCCCATAAAGCTAAGCAGCTGCATCCAGTATCTCTAGCCAAAGCTCGTTAGGCAGATTTGCGCTCATGCGCATCTTTATCGCCTTTATGATTATTTCCTGTCCTGCACGCTCAGCTGAGCCATTTAGCTCGTAAGTATAAGACGGAGTAGCTTTAATAGCGATCCTATTTTCATCTGCCTATTCCTCAAATCTTAATCATCCTCTCTACGGTCGCGTTGCCTAATCACTGTCTTAGTGTATCTCCACAATTAAAAGGTTGTATTTTGTTCTCACCCTCTAGTAGTACCTTTCGATGACTTTCATGATCTTAGGCAGCGACTTTAATAGAAGATTATTGTTCTCAATCTTTCTAGAATAATCATCCTTTATTAGCAATAACTATTGCTCTCCTAATCGTCCTAAATGCATATCAAACAGGTCCTATAAGATCTGATAGAAGAGTTGAAGGTGATCTCTCTTTTAGTCTTCTTAAGATTACCTAAGAGGCATATGCTGTTGCACAATGTTCGCATTCGATCCTCCTAATACTAGTAATCTCAACGTTTTGTGCATGTTTAGTTAAAGCCTGCAGTGCCCTTTGTCTAAGATGACCTAATCATTAGTGCTATATTTGCTCATCACTACCTCTTCTTTGCAGATAATACGATCTTGGCACAGCTTTCATAATAGTAGAGACTAGAGAATAGAAAGACTCAATCAATTCTAAGAAGTTAAAGTTGTACTTCCTAATAAGCGTGTAGAGCAACTTATTCTTAGATAAGTCACTATATCGGAGAGTTCGATCCTAACTAGTATACCAGACGTTTCCTTGATCTCGAAGTCTTGCTTCTAAGACAATATTAAGGTGGAAACCTTCAACGACCTTTACGTTAGTGAGTGTAAGGTCTACTGTATGTAGCCCACTTAGTCTAATCATAAGGTTTCTTATGATCCGAGTGCTAACACTATCAATAGGTAAGTGTTAGGTTCCTGCCTTAATGCACTCTCTATTTGTAGCCTTAACAAACGTTCCCTTTTCGATCAGACTGCGATTATTTACTAAGTGGACGCATGCTCCACTATCAAGAATTGTGGATCGGTGCAGTAGGTGCTGATTGAAAGTAGTACTATAGACCCCTAGTGACTCTTTTGTAAAGAGGGTTAGATCAATTAAGCTTGCTTAAATAGCGATAGAGTGATCTTTGTCTGATCTTTCCTTTCTTAGAGTAGTAGACTAACCTGACTTTTTAATCTGTTCGCAGAGATCTTACTATTTAGGCTTGTTGTACCGTTCTAAGATCTTTTTCTTATCTACATCGTTGAGCTTAATTGGATTGCTAGGAGCTGATCCTGTCACCGCTGTTTAAAGCTTAAGACAGGTGATTAGTTTCTAACGATAAAACTTGTTTGATTGAGGCTTTTGCGGGTGAGACCTAATGCACGGGCATACTTTCAGGCCTTTTTCGGTTTTTCCAGTTAAGCTGTTTTGAGCAGTTTGCTTATTCAGGGTTAGTACTGCAAAGATCGATAGTCCCTTTTCTTTTCCAGCGTTTCTAGATTGCTCGCTTAGCATAGCGTTAAACACTGTAGCAACATTGTCTAATATCATATCGTCCTTTCCTAGAGATGCCCTTTCTACGACTTCCGCTCGTTTCTGTCGGGCCTATTCTAGGGCGTATTTCGCTATAATTGCCTCAAGAAAGTCGGTAAGAGCAATAGTCCCTTTAACCTCTAGGACGTCGTACGTCTGGGCTCGGGCATAGAGAGTTTGCTATTCGTTGAACCACTTCTCTGGCCCGATCCTGCCGTGCTTAGCTTTGTCTAGGTAAGCTCGGTACTCCTATCTAATTTAATTCTAAGTCGTGGCCTTACTCAGAGCTAGCTGATCTTTAAGCAGTTTAAGTTGTAATTAGAGGCTTAAGTCGTCCGTTCGGGAAAGCCTGATCTGTACTAGCTCGAGAAGGTCCAGTAAGACTGTTTTCGTAATCTAGTCTTAGAGGTTTGTGAGTGCAGCAGCTTTTTGAGACTATTCAGCAGTGAGAACTTTCCATTGTCAGACTCTCTCGTTGTAGTCGGCTGACAAAACTTCGTAGGCTTCGATATCTTTAATATATTCTTGTAAAGACTTTTCGTAATCAGCTTTCGCTTCATCAGTAGCTCTAGCAGGAGGATCCTTTGGCTTGACCGGCTTAGTAGATAATCCTGGGTATAGAGGAGCGTTATTGAGAAGATCGGGTTGCGATAGGCCATCTGGATTAACATGGTCCCATACTCGCTTTCTGATAGCGTGAACTTTAAGCTGAATGTACCATGCTAGCCAGTCTTTACGAGCTCGAAGGGTGACTGTAGAAGGAAGTTTTATCTAGTCTGTTTAGTCCATTTGGACTGATGTCGTTAGGATGATTTAGGAGGTTTGAGAGGAATAAGAGTGGTAGAATGATTAATTCAAGTACTCAGCAAATACAAGATGCACAGTGGAGAATTAACTCTGTAATCCTATAGCGCCGGGCTCATAACTGTTGTGGCTAAGCAAACTTAAGAGAAAAGATTATATTGATCACTGCTCTTCTAATGTATCAGAAGAGCTGGCTTAAATATACAAACAGATCACGGAGAAACGTTAGTCCACCTTCCTAAGCTTAGTCAGCTCAGTCACGTAGATCAGTACTTCACTGTTCTCGTGTATCAATACTGCGACACATAATTATATAACTTATATATAAGATTACTATTTTAATTAGGCTGCTAATAGCAAGAGGCAATGTTAGCAATGTAGTCTAGTATATAAGATAATATTTAGATACAGAAGAACATTGCTAAGATGTCTAGTCTTTCTAAACTTAAGGCTAACTAATATTTTTTCGTATATTAGAATATCTTATTACTAATTACGTTTATAATTAGCTATTACTTATTTGCAGATAAATTAGTATATGCTCTAAGCTAATTCTTCTTAGGCAATATAGACGATTCTGTTCGCGTTTATTATAAATTATATTCTAGAGACTAGTAGTAGAATATATAACAAAGCCTACTAGATAGAGTAATAGTTGTGCTAATTATTATATTAGTTAATAAAATATAACTCTTACTTATATTAGGAGATGTAGCAGCATAGCTAGTCTATATTATAATTAGGAATCTATCCTATAAAGCCTAACGTTAGAGATTAATACCTAGTACTCTTCTAGCTAGGTTTATTCCTATAACTAAGATTCGTAATCCTCTTCTTAAGAGTTAAGTATATTACTATTATATAGGTAAGCTTCTGTTACGTAAGTTTAAGCACTACTATATTAGCCTACATAGTAGAATACTATTACTTACTATCTAATACAGTACTAGAAAACGTAGCTAAGTCTAGAATACTACTTGCATGCGTAGACAGATAAATAAGGCAGTATTATCTAACTATTTGCGTAATATTAGCTAACTATAAAGAATA